GAAACAGCTATCATATTTTGTTATATCTTACATATATATATATATATATATATATATATATATATGTAAGACTAGTTCTTTTGAAAACAAAACACAAACATGCCTAGTTACTTTCGCGCATTAAGCTGCAGAAAAATTATCATTAAAGACATAAAGTAAGAAATTTAGAACTAATATTTCACAAACACCAGAAATTGAAATTCATAATTAATAAATTTCAAATAATCATAGAAATGCAATAATAAATTAAAAAATTTTGAAAGCAAAACATTTCAAACAAGCGAAACCTCTCTTAAAAATTATGAAATTAAAAGACAATCTCAGTGTCACTTCATCAGGGGGAGGAACCTTGAAATTAATTGAAATCTCTCTTCTAGAGAAATCCTTGCTTTTCTGTATCCAGAATTAGCCGATGAACCATTTCAATCTATTTCAATTATAGTTAAAATAGTTCATCTCAAAATTCTAACCCTTCCCCAAAGCAAGCATCGTTAAATTTATTATTGCATTTCTATGATTATTTAAAATTTATTAATTATGAATTTCAGTTTCTGGTCTTTGTGAAATATTAGTTATAAATTTCTTACACGAAAGTTCAGCGTTATACGAGATACATATATACGTACGTACAAACGTCACGAAAAAAATCTCTTCTGAATTCATTTATATCCATTTTACAATCAGTTTTGGTGAAAAGAGTTCTTTATTCTGTCCTTAGGTACAGATGTCACTCAAAAACATCGTTAAATTGCATTCGACAGCGATCAAAATTGATATTTTCGATGAAATATGATACCCGAAAAGTTTCGCGATTACAATACTTCCTTTATTTCATACAAGATAGTAAAATGTACGTTTAAATAGAAAAGTATTAGTGTTTATAAAATAATATTTATGCGAGCTTTTTGAACGCCAGTAAATAAGGTATTCATTTACAGTAGATCAGATTAACTGATTTGTGTGGAATGCTAAGACTAAATTTCATACTGGGCTTTAAAATACAGAGCATTTCAGGCATTGCTATGTTTTCCAAGTGTCACTGAAAGAATATATTTGAAATGAAAAAGGCAATTCATTTTAAAATTGAAATTATTTAGAATTTTCTACCAGTGCATTGGCGCTCTTTTTACTTCCTAGTACGAAGTAAACGAAGTATTGTATTTCAGAAAAATTTCGGGCATCATATTTAAAGGGAAAATATATTTTGACCGCTCCCGAATCCATTTGAACAGTTTTTTTTTTGCATACCTTTTTCTCTGTACGTACCGATAGAATAAAAGATTATTTTTTCAGATGCATTTAGAACAGATTTTTCTTGTTTGTACGTACGCATACGCATACTTATGCATATATGTCCCATAACTCAAGAACGATTAGCCGTAGAACATTGAAATTTTGTGTATGGGACTGCTATGAAACTTAGTTGGGCCTCGTCCTTTTTTGTTGCAATCAGGAACACCATATATACCCATTTCTTGCCCGGCTCAGTGAACTCTTTCTTTATTCTCATATGATAAACTGTGCATTTTTTTTGCTTTAAAAGTGATTGGATTATGTTGTTCTTATGCTCTTATTAAGTTTTTTTATGCCTTTAGGTAATCTGAATGCAATAGTTGTAAAATTATCAGCAACTTAAAAGTGTAAGTTTTGCCAAGCCTAACGTGGTGGCTATTTGTTTACATTTGAAACTCTTAATTGTGCAATAAATTAAGTCAGTTCGATGTACCAACTTCAGTTTCTTTATTGCGCAGTTAATCTTAAATTTTTAAAGTTAGCTTTAAATTAACAGAAGTTAACTTCACAACCTTTTGCGTACCAAATGCTTTTGCTTTCTATTCTGTGGCAAAATTGCTTGTTTTGATTGTCTAATTTTAATAGCAACTTCTTTTAGCTGTATTTGGATTTAAAGGTTTCTGCGTTTTACAATGTTTAAGGAAAATATTTGAGTTTTATGTATTTTTGTCTTACCACAAAGTAAGAACTGATCTGATTGAATAAGATACACATCTCTAATGAAATTCAGGGAAATAAATGTAAAAGAAATGCAGCAAAAAATGTGCATAATTTGACGTGTCGTACAAGCAAGTCATGGGGTGTTCACATCAGACTTTTTTTGTAATAAATGTGGATAGTGAATCTCCAGGAATCATTTCAGTTATATCCTTCCATTTAACTGCCTATTCCTGTGTCTCTTTGAAAAAACTAATTTTGAGATTATGTGGTTACTAATTTTGAGATTATATGGTTACTAATTTTGAGATTATGTGGTTAACATATGTAAAGAATTTATTTTCCCACAACTTTTCACGATGAATTCGAACTCAAATACATCACACACATGGTTTTCTTACACATCGCTCATAAAGTAAGCTTGGCTACATTTGCACTGAATAGGGATACATTTTTAAAAATAACATTTGTATAAACATTAAATGTATGTGAAGAAAAATTTTTAATTTCTTTCTAAAATTTTAGATTATGTTAATAGCTAGTCTGTTAACTGTGCATACGTAGAACATACTAGCAAATTTTGCGTAGAAATTCAATTTAATTAAAATCTTAAAAGCCACAGCTTTTGAGAACAACACTATTTATTTATCAATTTTTTTCTTCTCTTTTTTTCTTTTTTTTAGATTAAGAATGTAAAAATATTTGAAGAAAGGAAGTGCATATTTCAAGTAAAGAAGGAAGGTAAGTAAAGGAAGTAAGGAAAGGAAGTGTATTTGGAACTTATAAATAAGGAAGTGTATTTGGAAGTGTATATACAATTTTTTTTTCAAAATTTTCCGTTTCTTTCTTCTGAAAAATTAGCAAGCCCCATAGGCGGCCGGATTAGTAAAATCACTGAGCACTCGTAATTATCCCCTGGATTCGATAACAGGCAAACGGGCCGAATTCACGGCGTTTTCTTTATTTTCCTCATATGTATACGAGCCAGGTTCCCTTAGAAAGTCTTCGACGAAAGCATACTCTCCTTCTGCATTTCAGTATTATTTTGCTTGTAGATGACTGTAGTTAAAAGTATGACAGTTTTTACTTTCAACGAATCTTGATTAAATAATTCTAAATTTTGAATTTATTTTGTTTAATTATTTTTGTGCAAATATGTAAAATTTAATGTAAAAATTAGAAAAGGAAATATTTAGACAAAACTCAGAAAGACATGATCAATAATCCTCAAAAATTCTTTAATCCACCATGATTGTATGAATTATCAGAACTCGGCTGTTATTAAGAAAAGAAATAAATTAGTGCAGAAGCTGATGAGTCCCTTGTGTGATTTTAATGGATTTGTTTTAGCATTTTATGCATTTTAATTTCCAGCGTGTCACAGTTTATTAATCTTTACATCTGAATATACACAGAAATATTGAATTTTTAGTTTGACATAGCTGTGCACTATACTGACAAAAACAATCCCTTTTCTCCAGGCTTTCTTATCCTTGTCCAGTCCTTTACAAACCTTGTCCAGGCTTATCTTATCTAATCATTATTTCCTATCTTGTTCATTTGCGGTTTTGCAGCTGAAGATGGTGGTTCGGTAAAACCATTGAAACTAGTCCTGTGAAAATTTTGTAAATTAACGCTGATTTTTGTTGTTTGACTTCTGAATTAAACCTTTTCTCCTTTGATACCGGGTTTCTAGAAACCCACCCATACATATTCTGAAAGTTTATATTACAATTAGAAAACTGTGAAGTCTTAGGGGCAGAGGGACAAGCGTTTAGGAGCTATAGAACCCACAAAGTATCATTCAAGTATGTATAGATGGACATATTTCCGTAATGGCGTCTCTATTTCTTGTATGTTCATACATTGTCTGGTTGGGAAGTACCTGATGGTAAAGTCCTACAAAAAGAACTGGTACCTGAAGGATGTACGAAATAGATCCGATATTCATTTTTTTCAGACACTGCAAATGTTCGTTACATAACGGGCACAATCATTATCGAGACACAGGAGCATATTTGGCATCGCGATAGTTTTATTGCCCTGCAGGCCTTTTCACTATATAAACTCAGCACTCCTCGTTTTAAGAACTTGATTCAGTAAACTTTTTATAAGGGCGTGTACTTGGACGATGAACCTGGAATGTGGATTGCGCCAATGGCTCATCTCTCCGATTCATTGACAAATAATGAATGTACAAAGTGTGAGGTGTAAAATACGCCCATTGTGAACTGTCTTTCTGCCCGTCTCACTGTTTATTTGATGAATTGCATATTGATCGTCTTTTGTAATAGATTTTGTTTGAAGTCAATAGCAAGTCACATTTTCAATATCCCAGCGTATATTGTTTCATTTAAAGGATTTGTTTGATTGAGGTCCCCACCTTCTTACCATAATATTAGTTCATATAAACACGTGACACGAGCGTTTTAGCGACTTTTGGCGTCATATTTCCATCACTTTTTGGATACTTTGTGGGCCCTATAGCTCCTAAACGCTTGTCCCTCTGAACCTAAGATTTTACAGTTTTCCTACTTGTGGCATAAGCTTTTAGAAAATAGATGGTTCTCCGGGAAATCTGTATCAAAGGATAGAAGGTTTACTTGTCAGTTCGATTTTGTAATACCTTTCTTTAGTTTAATGGAATTTAAAGCATTAGTTCTAAAGTTAAAATGCATTTAAAGATTTAGGAGGAATTTTGCTTATAGTGTAATTGAGTTTGTGAAAAAGAGTGTTTTTATGCTGAAAATATACATGCATAATTCGTAGTAACTACCAGTTATAGTAAGTTTGAAGTAATATTAGTATGAACCTAAAGATTATTGGAAATTAAGCTTCCCTTTGCATATGTTACCATTTTAACATTTTTATGACAGACAGGCATAATGTAGGCACACAATGAAACGCTGTCGAACGTTTCGAGAACGTATTAGAATTTAAAATTTTCCTTCATTATGATAAGCGTTGTACTCATTTAATATTTCATGCGATAAAGAGTACAGAACTGTGCATAAGCATAGCTTTATTTTATAAAACTTCAAAAATCTTACCTATGAAAAAATTCGATCCGTAGGCATCTCCAAATGAAAAAGCATAGCCGAAGAGCCAATAACCGAAGCCGCCGAAGATGACGTCAATGGCATTTTTCACCATGATGTTTACTTCGTTCTTCCTGCTGACGTAGCCTGACTCCAGCAAACCGAAACCTGAGAAACAATAACAAACTTGTGCTTAAAGACAGATATCACATATACATATTAAAAAATATGCAACGGCATTTCGTATTCGCGTCAAACACGCTTTACACAAATAATGCTTTTAAATTCTCGATTTTATAACGTAATATACAATATTGTTTAAAAATTTATTTTATTTTTGTGTTAAAAATTGTTTTTGTAAGAAGCAGAAACTGTTAATCTGCTACGTTTTTTCTTGAATTTGAATATGTACCACGATACAATCAATAGAGAGTTTTAGCAAGAGTATCGAAATTTGTGATTATTAGCTTAATCCGGAAATCTATGGTAATATCCTAAGTAGTAGTGTTAGATGTACGTTAGTACTTCTGATTCTGCGGTTTCAATTACACATAGTTCACGAGTTTTTTTAGCACAGAAGGGCTGTTAGTCTCGAAACGGCGTTTCGAAAGCGTTGAATCACTTTTCAAACTGTTGACACCAAATATTATCGATCTGTATTATATTTATAGAAATTAAATAATGGAGAATCTGCAGGAATGTATGTATGTTTCTAGAACTGTGAAAAACAATGGTACCTAGAGCCATCAAATTTTGAATGACGTAGTTCTCGACTCGAATATGGGCGCCAGAAAGCCTGAATTTTGAATTTGTTTTATTATCTATCTCATATTTTGTAAAACTTTAATGAATTTTTAATTAAAAACTCAACGATTTCAAAGGGACCAGTGGCAACACAGTGCGGAATACAGTGAGGCTGTCTATCGGAAATTCTAAAGATATGCTATTTTTAAATACTTTAAGCCCAAATGCTCTCGAAATGTGTTTGTGTGTGAATATATATATTAAAAAAAAGTCCCTTTAGGCGTAATATAAAATCTGAAATCTTTCAAAATTTTTTTTTCTTTCCCCCCCTCTTTTTTTTCCAAATATCAAGAGGACAGATATTTTTTAAATTCCAAAATCTTGTGAAAAGAGAAGTCGGGCTCCTAACATAGTCAAATATAGCAATCAAAGCATTTACCATGATAATCCAAATCATGAAATATTGCAGTATTTTAGCAGACACTCAGATCTCGGTGTTTTGAATCTCATGAAACGAGAAAAGATTTTAAGGTAAATTCGAAATAATAAGGTTTTTAACTTCTGATAAAGTTTAGAACAATATTTCATATAAAATTAACAGCAAAGTAAGCATATTGTTACAAATTTTGTATTTATTTAGCTATTTTTAGTAGAATTTGTAATTACAATTGTGTTATATTTCCGTTCAATGCAGCACGAGACTTATTTGAAGAGAAAGCTACGCCGGAAAAATTAAAATACAGGAACATGCGCATTTAACATTTAATAAATAGATACAGTGGATGGACAAAAATATGGAAACACCTTGTGAAATGCATGTTTGAAAAGAAAGATTAATTTTAATGAAATATGTAGGTGGCGCTGGCGTTTTTGACTACTGACGCCACCTATATAACTTCGTAAATGTGCTAAACAGTTCAGTTGTGTCGGAGTACGTTTATGTGAGGTTGTCATTGCATTAGTGTCAGAGTTAACAGACTTCGAACGTGGGCAAACTGTTGGAGCACGTATGGTAGGTGCTTCCGTAAGCAAAGGTAGCCGAGGTGTTTTTAGTGTTTCAAGAGTTACTGTATCGAAGATTTATTCCGCATATTTGAAAAGCGGAAAAACATCATCTGCTAAATCACAGCGCGGACGAAAGTATTTCCTGAGTGATCGTGACAGACGATCATTAAGGGCAATTGTGACGAAAATAAGAAGACCACAGCTGCAAAAGTTACTGCTGAAATGAATGTTGTGTTACCGAACCCTGTGAGTACCAAAACAATTAGAAGGGAGCTTCATAAACAGGGAATGCTGGCCGTGCTGCAATTGAGAAGAAAGCCACTCATCAGTGATGCTAATGCCCGTAACAGGAAAAGGTGGTGTTTAAGTCATAAAAGCCTGGACTATAGAGCAGTGGAAGCGAGTAATATGGTCTGAACGAGTCTTCTTTCACATTGTTTCCCAATTTTTCTGGCCGAGTTTACGTCAGGAGAACGCCATCTCAAGCCTATAATACAGACTGCTTGTTGCCAAGAGTGAAACATGGCGGCGGTTCTGTTATGGTTTGGGCAGCCATATCGTGGTTCTATACTAGCCCCATGATAACTGTGTCAGGGCACATGACTGCCAAGACTTATGTGAACATTTGGGCCGATCAAGTTCATCTCATGGTACAAACTTTGTTCCCCGATGGTGATGGTGTCTTCCAAGACGACAAAGCCCCTGTTCACAAAGCTCACATTGTCCAGGACTGGTTTTCTGAGCACGAGGATGAGTTGTCCCAACTCCCCTGGCCACCACAGTCACCAGACCTGAATATTATCGAACCTTTGTGGTCTACATTGGAACGGAAAGTGCGTTCTCGTTATCCACCGCCAACATCGTTATCTGAACTTGCCCCCGTTTTGCAGGAAGAATGGTATAATATTCCCTTGGCAAACATACAGGAACTGTATTTATCCATTCCGAGAAGACTGCAAGCTGTTTTGGATGCTAGCGGGTTTCCTACACCATATTAAGCAAAGAAACATGTTTTTTTAAAGGTGTTTCCATATTTTTGTCCAACCCCTGTATCTCTTAATTGTAATCTTTTGATATCCAGAAAAATCGAGAAAATACCAGAATATTCTCGTGCACATTTAAACATTTAAAAAGCATAAAAAAGCGGGATCGAAACATCTCAATTCAGTTGTTGTGGTTTGGATAACTGTTGTTGTTTACTGTAGCGAATTTGCGGTGAGATCGGATTAACTTTCTCTACGTTTCTCTGTTTTGAATTGAGTTCTGTAAAACGTTTGAGTAGTTTAAAACATAAGTGATGTAAGATATTGCGATAATGTAGAAATATCTTGGACCGTCAACTCTGTTAAATAAGAACTGAAAGCAGGCCAAGGGAGATAAAAGCCGGATAGGAATCCGTTAAAGAAAGATGAAAGCCTGTCAAGAAGAGATGAATGCTGGTCAAGCAAAGATTGAAGCAGGACAAGTAGGGATCAAAAAGAGAAATTACCTGCATAATAGAAAATAAATTTGAGGCTATGGAAGGCAGAACAGAGACGGTTGAAAATAAAGTTGGGAAAATTGAAGAAAAAGTTTCTTCTGTCAAAGAATAAATAGAAGACAGAGTTTCGGCCGTAGAATAACAATCCATTATAGAGATTCTTCTGTAAAAATTCAATTGGAAGAAAGAGTTTCTGCTGTGGAGCAACGAATAGAAGGAAGAGTTTTTGCCGTCCAACAACAAATTGATGACAGGGTTTCTGCTGCCATCACCAAAGAAGTTGGCACTCTCAAGAAGTGCATAGCGACAGCAGGAAACAATTCTGAGGGTTTTAAAATTTTATCCATGCCTTCTCATTCCTCCCTGAACTTATCCACATATGAATGGAAGACCTCTTGGCAAGTGTATAAGACAAAGTTTCCTATAGTGGCGGAAGCAAATGAATGGGATCCCCAAGCTAAGGCCTGTCATCTCGCTGTTTCTCTGAGAGCAGACGCAACAGATATTCTTCTGACTCTTCCCGAAAACAAAAGGCTAGATTTCGAAGCTCTGTCCAGCGCATTGGAGTCGCGCTTTGGGGAGAAGTATTTAAAAGACTACAGCAGCCTTCAATTAAAATTCTGCAAACAGAACGAAACGGAAACACCCCAGGAGCTCGCCACGAATGTTGAAAGGCTATCTCACTTCGCATTTTCGGAGTGCCCGACAGAAACAAGGGAAATCCTGTCGCTGTAATATTTTACAGACAGCATTCGAGATCCAGAAATACAGAAAGCTTTGCGAATGGCAGATAGCAAAGACTTGTAAAGCGCTCTAATGTACGCCATGAAATTCGAGGTAGCCCAGCAAGCCGCTCGTAGAGATCGTCACCCAATCAGAGCTCTTCTAGTCCAAAAGTCAAAGGATCAAATGGCTGCTTGGAACTGCGATGTTGAAGGCCACGCACGAAGAAACTGCAGAACACCCCAGGGTATGGATTTTAAGACCATTTCCCTGCAACGACGCAGAAAAAAAATAATAATCATATCGCGGAGAAGAGTTTGAAGGATAGTGAAAAACCCCGTTTTAAAGCATTTCTTCAGCGAGTGGTAATTAATGAAATTAATGGACTATCCATCAGTGGTTATATCGATGGAGTTCCTTGCAATATGATCATTGACACAGGAGCTAATGTTACCATCATTCGGAAAGATTTAGTTCAACAGTTTAAAGATAAACTTATTTGGACGCTATCTTGTGTTGCATTCCAAACTGCGTCTGGTGAAAACATCGACATAGATGGGAAGTTAAACATGAACATCACGTTTGGAAGCGCCGCCTAGTATCATACGGCATACGTGGCAGAGATTACAGATCCTTGCACACTCGGATTGGGCTTTTTAAGGGTACACAATTTTTCATTGGACTTCAAAAACAACAGACTGCTTTCAGAATCTGAGGACATAACTATCCATCATCAGAAGGGATCATCACCTGGAAAGGCCGAAACCTTTTCTGAAAGACCCTGCTCAGAAAGTTGCCGAAATCATACTAGGGTCGAAGAAAAACACGAGACTTGCCGCTATTTTCAATCCCAGATGCTCTCCGATCGTGACCTTCGTCTTCCTTATGATCTTCTGTTTGGTCGCCCTCTGGATGCACCTTCATCCCTTGAAGAATACATACAAGATCTCCAGGCCGGTTTAAAGTGAGGCACAATTTTGCACGAGAGCGAGTCAACTTGGCGACGGAGAAGATAAAGACTCGATAAGACACAAGAGCTACTGGACATTGATTTCAACGAAGGAGACAAGGTGTAGTTGTGGAATCTGAGTCGACGAAAAGGACTCTGTCCAAAATTACAGTCATCTTGAGATGGTCAGTACACAGTCCTAAAGCAGGCTGAACGACGTCGTGGTTCGGATCCGTAAAGCATCGAACTCTAAACCTAAAGTCGTTC